ATTACCAAGAAAATTACCATATATGCACAATCTCTAATCAAATGAAATTTTGTATGAATTGACAAATATTCTTAAATTTTAAGATTTTCAGGAAAAATAAAATGAGATTAAAAAGAAGACTGTCTATAAAATTAGGAGCCCTGGAGCCCCTGGAACCTGCTCATAACCCTGGGCATTTGCCAAAACACCCGGAACCTCGGTAAAATTATGATGACGCAATAAAATATATGCAATTACTTTCCCGTCCAATGAGCAGAAAATAAGTAATTAGGGTTTTTAAAACCTTTCAGTTAGTGGGAAGTAGATTTTGATTAACTTGCCGATGCACCTTTACATATACTGTGAAACAAAGTAAGGCTGCTTCCAGTGTTCTTTTAGTGCATGATGTTTAACATTGAAAATAAACATTGTCATTGGGACAATACGATTATTTTTGTGACCTAAATATGGTTGAAATGAATTCTTAATTCATGATTAGCGTTAGCTAGTTAAGTGTTCTTTTTTGTCCTGTGTGGTTGTTCTTTGAAAATATGAAAATTTGATCTCTGCCAAGATTGTTTTTTAATTTATGTAACATCAACCTTTGACCAGACATAGTGCATGGTGATTTTTAAGATTATAAATTATATTTACTTGTTTCCATTGAGTTATGTAGCTTAACACTTGTGAAAGTTTGGCAGAAACAAGAAATTGCGTGCAAGCACAAACACGACGCAAAAGTGTTTCCGAGCAATTTCAAGTTTCTCCAATACATTTAAAAGTGTTTATAAAACAAGTAAATATGTTTTCTATTTTGCGTATAAAATAACCTTTTAAAATAAAAATAAAACACAAGTTTATTGATTTTAATCGACATGTTGATTATATTCTCGCCATTAAGATTTCCAGGCAAACCATGTTAAAACATTATTTTAATGTCACTGTAGGCATTAGGTTAAGAAATACTTTTACGTTTTCCCATCATTAATTGATACAAAATTTCTATTATCTTACTATAAATATTGTATTGAATTTAAAAACTTAAACATTGAGGTCAGGGTTAGTTTTGTTAATGTGGAGTGCTTCTTTGATTTTTAGGGGAGAATGAGTTGTCGGCAGTGTCGATGATTTTGAAGCAAGAGGGTGAATAGTTGGTTTTACATGAGTGATATTTAAGAAGGAGTCGGTAGATATGAGAGTTTTTGTCTGTTGTGGTATGTTCCCTTATTCTGGTGGATAAATAGCGCGAAGTTTTGCTAATGTATCCGGAATTACATCCCGCGCAATTGAATTCATATACAACCATTGATTTAATTGCATCAGGGATTGGGTTTTAGAATGAAAAAAGGTTTTTGATTTTGAATGATGTGAAAATCAGTTGAATGTCAATATCTGTACAGAAGCGTTTCATAATGTTTGTAGGTTTGCGCTGTGTGTGTCGTGAGTAATGTCCGATGTATGGTAGTTTAAAGTATAAAGTTGTTATTTTGGAATGGTCATTCAGTATGAGTGCCATTAGTAGAGAGCTAAGATACTTAGCTAAATTATAATTGTATGCGTTAATTGATGAAACTATCGGTCGTAATGGAGGCGATTGTTCTGGTTCTCGTTTCTTGTGGAGTTTCTGCAAGCCATAGAAACGTGAGGGTTGAGAACCTCTGGAGAAGATTTCATTGTAAACTTCTGTTGTTGATCGAGTCTTTCTTTAGAAGCTTCCTTAACAGTCGTTGCAGTTTGGCTTCACATGATAGTGTGACGTCTTCTTTGAGTGGGGTAAACTTTGCTGTATTGTTAATGATTTCAAGGCAGGAGTTACGATACATTTGACGATCCATGATTACAACGCCGTTGCCTTTGTCCGGTTTAAGAATGATAATGTTTGGAATAATGCGAATGTTTTTAAGGATGCGATGTTTTTTGAAGTCAGCTGGTGTCGGATGATAAGATGAGATGTACGAGTGAGCGATGTGTGCCAGCACTGTTTTAGATGCGTGTAGTCTTCTTGATTGCGAATACTGTATTTTATAGTTTGGTGGTTTTTTCGTATGTTGCCAGAATGTCGGCTGAATTGAATTGTAGTAGTTTAATGCTGAACCCAAGGCCATTTTTCAGGGGTTCTAGTTCTTCGTCCTTTCATTGGTGTGATAATAGATTGGTTATCGTTTCGTTGTGTGAGAATGGTAGAGTTCTGTGTTAAGATATGAACATCGAACGAAAAGTCAAACAGCATAGCATTGCATGCATAATTAAGTAGATATGACACATGTCAGATTAAGTGATATTCTGAACTTGTTATCATAATATCGTTATTCGCCGATATTTAACTTGTTATTTGTTTCACAATAAAATCATAAATATTTCACGTGCAATCCGAATGTTATTGCCAAATCACGAATAATTTAACATAATGGTCCTTGTGAGATTACTTAGTTTTTTCCGATGTGTGGTAATTGTCTTTTGTAGGTATTTGGCTTTGTTTTTTTTTATATAGCATAATTAACAAAATACCTAGAAAAGACAATTACCACACATCGGAAAAAACTAAGTAATCTTACGAGGAACAGAACTTTACCATTCACACACAACGCGACTATAACCAATCTATCATCACACCTATTAAAAGACGAAGAACTAGAACTCGTGAAAAATGGACTTGAGTTCAGCGTTAAACCACCACGACTCGACTCAACCGACATTCTGGCAACATACAAAAAATCCACCAAAGTATAAAACACAACATTCGCAATCAAGAAGACTACACGCATCTAAAACGGAGCTAGCACACACATCGCTCCCTCAAACATCTCATCTTATCACCCGACACAAGCTGACTTCAAAAAACATCCTTTCCTTAAAAACATTCGCAACAATCCAAACATTATCATTCTAGAATCGGACAAAGGCAATGGCGTTGTTATCATGGATCGTCAAATGTATCGCAACTCTTGCCTTAAAATCATTAACAATACAACATAGTTTACCCCACTCAAAGAAGACGTCACACTATCATGTGAAGCCAAACTGCAACGACTGTTAAGGAAGCTTCTAAAGAAAGACTCGATCAACAACAAAGTTTACAATGAAATCTTCTCCAGAGGTTCTCAACCCTCACGCTTCTATGGCTTGCCGAAACTCCACAAGAAACTAGAAGCAGAACAATCGCCTACACTACGACCGATAGTTTCATCAATTAACGCATATAGTTATAATTTAGCTAAGTATCTTAGTTCTCTACTAACACCACTCATACAAGATAACCACTCCATTAAAGATTCTTTCACTTTCATCGACGACTTCTCATCTTTCAACTCATCAACTTCTTGTCACAAATTCTTCATCTCCTACGACGTTGGAAGCTTATATACTAACATACCACTTACTGAAACCATCAACCTAGCAATTGACGTAATATTCACTCACAATCCCAGGTTCAGTATAAACCGGACAGACCTCACACAACTGTTTTTAATAGCAACAGCACAGACAAATTTTCTATTTAATGGAAATTTTATGACCAGACGGACGGTGTTGCGATGGGCTCTCCTTAGCACTCATACTTGCTAACATTTTCATAGGCTCACATGAACGAAACTTGCTAATTATTTATAACGACACTAAACCACGTTTTACCGCAGAAACGCTGACGATATTTTTGTGTTTTACTAACGAAACTGGGGCCATGAAGTTTTATAATTGCATTAACTCACAGCACGCAAACATTAGATTTTCATTTCAAACTGAACAACAAGATCAACTGTCATTTCTTGATATTTTACTAACAAAATCCCATGACAGCTGTACAACATCTACATATCACAGACCAACGTCACAGGACTTCTGACGAACTATTTTAGTTTCACACCAATTTCATACAAAACCGGACTTATAAGCATTCTAATCGACAGAGCATACATAATTATTAATACGAATAATGGCTTTCAACGAAACATAAAAAACATCACATCCACTTTTTACGAGACTCTTTCCCACTACACTTTATTAACAGAGCCGTTAAAGGAATATCTTGACAACAAACAAAGCAACAACCTTAAAATTAGACACCAAAACTCCTGACACGACGATCACGACCAACACAAATGAAATTTCCAAAATAACAACTCTATACTTCAAACTACTATACATCGGACATTACTCACGACACACAGAGCAGATTTACAAAAATTATGAAACGCTTCTGTACAGATATTGACATTCGACTAATTTCACATCATTCGAAATCAAAAACCTTTTCTCATTCAAAAACCCAATCCCAGATGCAATTAAATCAATAATGGTATATGAATTCAATGGCGCGGGATGTAATTCTCGATACATTAGCAAAACGTCGCGCCATTTCTCCACCAGAATTACACATACCACAACAGACAAATACTCTCATATCGACCGACTCCTTCTTAATTCTCACTCATTAAAAACCAACTATTCACTCTCTTGCTTCAAAATCATCGACACTGCCGACACCTGATTCTCCTTTGAAATCAAAGAAGCACTCCAAATTAACAAAACTAACCTTGACCTCAATGTTCAAGTTTTCAAATTCAATACAATATTTAGTTTATAATACGCTCGGACGCTCCCCATTAATTTATCTTATTTCCTTTTTATTGTCGTAATTTATGCATCATATTACTTTTGTATAAACCTTGTATTATTTATTATTTCACTTATACTGAAGATGGCATCATGAGATGTCGAAACATGTCTATTTTAAACATGGCGTAACATGTCATTCGCAAACGCTAGGCGTCCAAATCGCAGATTATTTTGTTTTTTTCGTTTTTAAACGTCATTTTGTTACTTCCTCATCAATTGTGAGTACAAAAATAAGAATAATTGACGAAGGTTTTAACAAAGCACAAGATGTAAAAAACCATTAATTTTTTGTGAAATACTACACCCGACCAGCTTAAGACCCAATTAGAGCGACATGTCTTTTGTCAACATAGAGTTTATCAGTTTGATATGTTTATACTTAATGAAAAACAATGGCAAATTGTAAAGAGATCATTTCATTTCTTCTTCTCCAGTCGTTACTTATTAATTCCTACTTGTGCAACATCGTGAAACGAAAAGCACCAGAAGGAAAACTTTACGTATTTTCAAAAAGAGAAGGATGTGTGTTTGTACAAAGTGAAAGTCCTTGTACATTAAACTGGAAATTGAATCCATACATCGCCAAACTTTACACACAGAAGAACAAGGTCGTTTCACATGCACTCAATCTCTATACTCAACTTGGCATTTCATCTTTGTGCAGAGATGCTGTTAAAGAAGCCTTATGTTCACAATGGACCCCAAGATGTTCCGAAATCAATTACAGTCGAGATTATGGTGATGTTACAAGGCTGTGTAACAACGTTTACTCTCGTTGTCCATCAAATCTTGTAAATGAGTTTAAGAACCAAAAATTCTGCAAGACTCTTAAAAAGGGCAGACATTCAAACGATCAGTGTGTTGCGAATACTGCACCCATCAGTGGTGCTTGTCCGCAGCCAAAGTATAAGGTACGTCAACACAAATATATATTAAAATAAACGATTTGCTGATCAACCCTTAAATTTTGATAGGATATTTCGATATAATAAAAAGTATTCTTATGAGTTATTTATATTATAAGTCCCATACATGAAGTCTCATGTTGATAAATAAAGCCTCTTAAATATATTTGATTTAAAACAGAAAAATCATCGATCATCTGAAGTATTGCATTAATCTTGTCGTAATTTTTACTGTAAGTAAATTATCTGGACGCGCCCTCAATTAGGCTGATGGAAACCGTATGTTCAGTAAATTATTATGATTTCTATTACGTTAACCTTTTTTACTTCATATCGTGTTCTGTTATATGCAGTGAGTCAGTAACACGTCATCAATGCCAACTCCTTTCTTTATGGTTTGTATGAAAAATTCAGGGCGCCAGAACTATCTTAAAAGGGCACATGGGGTGCTTAAAAGGAAAGTCAAAATATAGAAAAGGGCGTTGAAATTTGTCTGGACAATTTCTTTGTATTATATAATTAATTCCTGTAAACAAACTTAGGTTACAATTTAATTATGAAGCAGACAACTTTCTAGAAATTAGAAATTCAAAATTTCTATTGATCAGATCACAAATTTGAATGAAAGTAACTGGTGTGATTTTACCTAGACTACAAGAGTTTTAAGCTTTTTATTGCCTTCAATAAAATCCGTCATATTCAGTTGTAGAAATATAAACGCGTTGATTGACACCACAAGAATTCCGAGCAAACACACGGTAGTTTCCAATTTCAGCGTAATAGATCCTTGAATACTTAGGGTTAGTTAAAGTAGATTGGGTGTCAAGTTAACCATGTTGATTACTCGAGTTAAAGCGACTTAAGTTCTGTCGGAGTTTTTTTCGCGCAAGTCATAATCACACACACGCAGCCACTTTAACTTTTTGCCAACGAAAACAATTCGTGCTCACATCACTCGCATGTTATTCCTTTTAGATCATCACATTGGCGTTAAGTAGCTCATTCAATTTCAAGCTTTTTCGTACTAACGGCTCACTGATTTTTTGTACGTACTTTATCTCCCATTGTGAATGAACGCTTTGTGAACGTACTTGGTCAGAACTAAACGATCGTGTACATTTTCCATGAGCTCGAATACAACGCATCCTCTGTACAGTAGCGGATCGAAGACACCTCAGAATAAATCATATCTCCTCAATTTTAAATTCAAATTACATTCAGAAAAACACTATTGGTTTTTAATTTCTAAAGAATATAGTTTTACCTGTGAATTTACCTCTACGGTGTTTAGAAATGTAAATATTCGCCAAAATGCGACTCAGTAATTTATTTTGAGGTACTCTAAATCCCAGTCACTGCCTCTGTACTCATAGTTTTTGTACTTGATCTAGCTCATGTATTTTAAAATATTAACCACGTGCAAGTATAAAACTATCAAAGGTAATACTATCAGAATTGAGCTATTCGTGATGCACTACGGAAGATGAAGTGAATCATGCATATAAGCTAAACATGCATGACATTTTCTAATAAGAAAAGAAACAGTTGTTTTGCTTATATGTATCGAAAATGCAAGAAGAGTCAAGTCTAAGTCTAGTTAAACAAATTTAATGTCTTCTCAGAAAAAAGAAATTTGGAAATTGGCTCGTAATTCATATAAAAAAAGCCGGTATAAAAGTAGAACAAATTAACCAACCATTGGCGTCAATCCTGTATTAATTTTTTTTTGGAGGGGGGGCATATTCATACATTCTGCTGTGCCTGGCTAATTTCTTCTTAAAACAATTTCTGGTCCCCGCACTTAATTATTGCAGGGTTGACGCCAATGAAACCAGCAGTAATTCATGCATATTAAATTTCCTAAATGATGATTAAATCATGTAGTAAATTGATGCAAGATTCAGATCTTTCGTCAGTTTAATGGATTGAAAAGAATTCCATGTTCATCTAATGCAGTGGCTGCGTATATAAATCCAATTAACTTTTAAAAGTGTTTGATTTTCTTTCAAGGCATCCATTTGTCATTTGGCATGGCCAATAATGGTAGAAGTAGCTCATTGTTAGAAATAAGTTCAGTTATAAGCCTTAATTGTAAGATATTATGAAAATATATACAATCTTGCTATTTCATTTGACCTAAGGGGCATTAAAATTCAGGGTGACATGTGTTCTGAAATGTTCGCATTAAATTTAAGTTCAAATTTGAAAATTGATGACAAAATTCAGACAGCCAAAAATAAAAAATTAGGTATCAGATAACAAAATAGATTTTGAACAGCTTTCTCCAGTCTTGTGTTTTTTCTCTGTATGGTTTTCTACTGTTGAAAAAACGTACATACTGGAAAAGTCACACACTAAGTGCTTCTGCCGAAAATGCAACAGATATTTATGAGAAAGTTTAAAATGAGAGAAAAAGATTTACATGTTATTGTTACAAAAATTATGAGAATATCTGCAGTAAAGGTCAATGGGGTATTTAATTTGCCGCACGACAATATATTACTAGATAACAATTCACATTCTTCAAAACGGATAAACTGTTTCAGGCAGCATTTCGTTCCCCTGAGTAATCTAGTGCATTTAAATAATTCGTAATGTTTTGTTGCACGCTTGACTAGCGGAACCCCATTTCTATTTTTATAATCTTCGGCCCACAGAAAGCATTCCAAAAAAACACTTCTTTACCTATAGTAAACGCTTGCCAAGGGTCTTGTTTTATTTCTAATTTCCGTCATTTTACTTAGAAATCACGGATAGCGTTAGTGAACAAAAAGAGTAAAACATTGTCAATTTTTCAACAAAAAATGATTATGTCTGTAGATAAAATTGGACAGTAGGTGAAGCAGCCATAGCAGACCAGTCCCCCTATTTAGGCAGTTATGGTACATCGTCCACGATCCCATCTCATAAATAGAGCAGTTGATGATAAAGACTTAGATGATATCCAAACTCAAGATTTAAAAATTTGTCTACATTATTTACGAATAATCATATTTTAAATTTACTTTCAGATGACATCGTGGCTCCTTGAAGAATATCGAAAACTTCTGTAAGAATCCAGCCAACTTTGAGACGTCTTCGTAATCTACGATACGGTGATGGTGGAAGGATTTTTTCAGATTCATGTGTGTCACAAATGACTGAAATCGATTGTGCAGCAATTTATTGCTCAGCAAATGAAACTGAGCTCTTGGTAAAAATGGATAGTAATGATTGTCATCAGGTTGTCAGTGACTGGTAAGTTATGAAAATTTTTTTTACACGTTTGTCATGTATGAACGAATTTTCCATCCATTATCATTCGAAGTTCGATCTACTCAGTACACATATCATTAATTGTTTCACGAAATCTGGGACTTGCTGACCGGGAAATGTTACAAGATGTTAAATAAGTTTTATGCTGCTTACAACACTAATTTTGATTATGATTAACGTAATTATGTTGTGCATAAAAACTGTATTGCATTATTCACGGCTCGTTATACACGCATAGTGCCATATAGTACTGCACACTTTATTTAATTGTTATCTTTTGCAGTATCGACGAACCATTCAGAAGATTGTCAAAATCGACTAGTGCTTGGAATGTTTTGAATACTTTGAGAAATCAACTTAAAACAAATTGTGACACTTTTGCTGCGCCCTCATCCGACTTGAGACCTGAGCCTCCACGGATTTACAAGAAATCACCTACAAAAAAAAGTGCTGGAAACAGAGAGCACAAAGCCATTGGAATCCTCCCCTTCGTCTTTTTTGCACTTATGAAAATGCTTTTAATTGCTTGAACTCGAGATGAACCAAACTTTTTTTATATTCGTATATAATCCAAAAAACTTCACATATAGTTGATGCAGTATAGTAATACTTGGTGTTAGGCTGAAGTATACTTGCATGATTTTTTAATTTTTACAGTTATTAGCTATTTTGCAAGGTTCTTCTTCATGATGATTGTATTTGTTGTTTTCACGTCTTAAATGAACTTATAATAACAAACATAAGAGTAAGAATATTGATGTCTTCTTCTGCCAAGTGAAAATATGTGTCTGTAAAAGGTACAAATCCTTGTACATTGAACTGGACATTGAATGAAAACGTAGCAAAAGTTTATGAACAACAAGATGCGAACCACATCAATCTTTATGCTTAGTTATAAACATTTTTTCATACAGTTTAAAAGGTAAAGTACTTCAGTATTTATGAAGAAGTATATAAAACTGCTAAAAACAGCTTGAGAGATATAGCAATAACTTTAGTCAAGGACACGTATAAGTGTTTGCATGCACTTCATTTACCGAAATAAATCTCAACTATTTTTGGGTAAAATGAACATGATAAACATCATGGTATATGTGCCAATTCTTCGATTCGGGACAAGAGTAACTTCAGAAAAAATAGAAATAATCTTTCTGAAGTGTTTAACATGTCTAAAAGGTTTACTTTTAGGAATGGTCATAGAAGAGAAAATTTGCATAAAATCAATAATTACCAAGAGAATTACCATATATGCACAATCTCTAATCAAATGAAATTTTTTATGAATTGACAAATATTCTTAAATTTTCAGATTTTCAGGAAAAATAATAAGAGATGAAAAAGAAGACTGTCTATAAAATTAAGAGACCCCGGAACCCCTGGAACCTGCTCATAGCCCCTAGGCATTTGCCAAAAACACCCGGTACCTCGGTAAAAATTATGATAACGCAATTAAAATATATGCAATTACTTTCCCGTCCAATGAGCAAAAAATAAATAATTAGGGTTTTTTAAACCTTTCAGTCAATGGGAAGTAGATTTTGATTAATTTCCGATGCACCTTTACATATACTGTGAAACAAAGTAAGGTTGCTTCCAGTTTTAGGGGAGAAATACTTTTAGCTTTTCCATCATTAATGAATACAAAATTTCTATTATCGTACTAAAATATTTTATTGAATTTAAAAACTTGAGATTGAGGTCAGAGTTAGTTTTGTTAATGCAGAGTGCTTCTTTGATTTTAAGGGAGAATGAGGTGTCGGCAGTGTCGATGATTTTGAAGCAGAAGGGTGAATAGTTGGTTTTACATGAGTGAGATTTAGGAAGGAGTCGGTAGATATGAGAGTTTTTGTCTGTTGTGGTATGTTCCCTGATTCTGGTGGATAAATGGCGCGAAGTTTCGCAAATGTATCGGGCATTACATCCCGCGCAATATGCCACCATTGATTTAATTGCATCAGGGATTGCGTTTTAGAATGAGAAAAGTTTTTTTATTTTGAATGATGTGAAAATTTGTCGAAGAATGTGCAACTCTCGAGAATGTGCAACCCTCGACCTTTGGTCTCGCGCTTGCACTGATCTGCTCTAGGTTCTCCAAAAGGTCTCCGAGGATTGCGAAAGCATGTGCAAAAACACAGTAAACATCTTTTATTTATTCCAAAAATTGACCTCCGTCCCAATGTCTTCGGAACACGAAAAATAATCACAATCACAACTTTGAGTTCTTAAACAATTTTTTGTTGTTACTCCTAAAAGTATCTCGCTTCTCTCGCTTGTCTCGCCCCCTCTCACTTCCGTTCTCTGCTCTCTCTACTTCCGTTCCACCCATGTTTTCTACATTGTTCCTTATCGTCCCCAACGTACCTGAATGTAGAATTGAAACCCAACACAACTTTAACATAAATTTGTAACACCCTCCCCCACATGTGAGTACGAATGAGTCACATGTTATATCACTTTGTCTCGAAGTTTATTTCATTCCTGTTCCATTAGCTCCTGATTTAACGCATACGCAACCACAGCAGCTTGCCGTCTTGGTCTGAATTCTTTGGCGTTCACTCGCAACTCCTTTTGATGGTTGCTGACGTCGCATTGTAATTCTAAAGGATAGATCAGTTGGATTGGTCTCTTAAGAGATATTTTTCCACACTGAAGTTTATGACTTTATACTTAATCGGACCGGCGAAATCGACACCAATGACTTTACACGGTGTGGTTCCTTTTGTTCGAGTCTTCGGTAAAGGAGCAGGTACTGGAGCTTGATACGGTTTGGTCGTGAATCTCTTGCATCTGTAGCATATCTTCCTTTGCCTTTTGACTAGTCGGCGAAGCCGAGGAACCCAATACCTTTCAGGACCTTTGCCATCGTAAAAATAACTCCCCCATGGAGTGTTTCCAAATGTGCATCTTCCACTAACTTCACGGTGAATAGAGCGTCATCAGGCAAGTAAATAGGAACTCTCCTTGTATCCGACCGTGACATCTTAAAATCTTGTCATCGTCGGGTTGTACATTTAACTGAATCAGATCCGTTTGAGACTTTGGGTTTTCTGCGACTCTAGCTTGTACCATTTTCATCCATGACATGTGTTGCTCTTCCACTTTTTCAGATGTCAGTGGCCCGTGCCTTATATTATCTCTGTTTGTCGAGCATTATCAATAAATCGTTTCAACCACGCCCCAATACGAATCGCCTTTCGCAATGAATGTTTTCAAGAACATCACTTAATATTGCAAAGTCTGACCGCTGGATAGCAGTGCTCAAAACTACTCTCGCCGCCTTTGCTTCACTTAGGGAGTCAATCGACGGTTTGATTGTAAGATCTGGTGGCCAGAGACTACGCTCTGATAGCCAGGCAGGACCTCTCATCCACATCTTTGTCAGTTTGCCACCTCTGCTTCCGAGGTCGGCCGAATTGTCGGTTGTTGGCTTATGGTGCCACACGATCTCATTAGAAGCTCGGATTTTTGCCACTCGATGGGACACGAATTGTTTATAATCACCCTCTCCTTTAATCCACCATAAAGCTACAGTACTATCTGACCAGCAGTGTTTCCTGTGTGGAATGTGCCTCAGTGCATTGCTAGCATTCGAGACCAAATTTGCGGCCATATCACTTGCAACCAGCTCTAACCTCGGGATAGTCATTCCTCTTTTGGCAAGTCTTGATTTCGCTGCCAGTAATTCCTGGGTAACTCTAGATGGTTTAGCGACCGTGTAGACGACTGCGCACAAACCTTCACCACTGGCATCCCCAAATCCATGAATCTCTAAGCTACAGGGTTCTTGGAATGAAAGAACAGATAAGGTGTTTTCCCACTTTTCCCAGCTCTGCTTCAATTTACCAATCAATTCCGCGTCCCAAGGTAATTTCAGATCACACACCTCTCGATAGATTTATTTGCTTTGCAAAAGCAGAGGGGATGCAATTCCCATTGGATCATAAATCTTTGCCAGTCGACTTAAAATGTTGCGCTTTGTTGGCAATTTCCCACAATGTTCTATTTGTACACTTAACGTATCTTTCTCTTTATTCCACGTTGTACCCAGGATCTTCGTCTCAGTTGGCTGCACCCCAAATTGTTGTTTGGCCGCTGTTTGCTCTTCATGATTTTTGTTAACACTACCTTCATCCAACTCCTTTGCATTTGATGCCCACTTATGAAGGATAAAGGTTACGTCACCCAGATTATCGATAGCTTCCAATTTCTTTTTTCGTGCTTCATCCACAGTGCATCCTCCTGAAATGATGTCATCAACGTACAGACACCTTCTCAGAGCCTTGAATGCGTCTGGATCTTTAATTTTCTAGTGATCGAAATGCGTTTCGAGAACTCCCCCAAGTAGGATTGGAAGAGAAACCGATCCAAACAATACTCTCGTGAACCGTAGTACTTCTACATCAGCCTGTGGATTTGGCCGCCAGTGAAATCTTAAAGAATCCCGTTCACTTTCGCGTACACGAATTTGGAGAAATGCGTTTTGAATATCCCCAGTGATTGCAACAGGGAAACTTCGCGCTCTTACCAGCACTTCCCACAGCTTGTTATTTAGCGTAGGTCCCGCGTACAGGCATTCGTTTAAAGAAGGACTTTCTGGTGAAGCTTTTGCTGATGCATCGTACACCATTCTCAGTTTAGTGGACTGCGCTGACTCGCGTACGACTTCTTTGTGAGGTATGTAGAATTCATTACCTTTTGCTACGTTAGTTGCTGGTTCAAGTATGCCATTGTGCTTTTGGTCATGGATTACTGCGTTGTAATCTTCAGTCAATTTCTTTCGCTGTAATCGTCGCTCTAAAGATTCCAACAATCTGATGCTTCCTGTTTTGTTCGATGGGAGAAGTGGATGATTTTCGCGCCATGGAAGACCGGTCTCATACCAGCTCTCCGGGATCGCGTTAATTGCTGTTTGAATTCGTTATACACCATTGATTGGTCGTGTTCAGCAGTGTCTGCTAAGCGCAGCACATCCAACCTGCAGAGATCTTCATAATCCTTCTGCGAAATTTAGGTAAGCGACATCCTTTTACTGTTTGGTTCCACGTCAGGGCTCAAGGCAAACTATCCGAGTTTTGTTTTTCTGCAATTGGTTGCCCCTCAGTTCCCACTAGTGGATTCGTGCGAGTTTTTTTCCGTGCATATTCCCCGCTTCCCAAACGATATGGACAGGTAATTGAGCTTTCTGATCATTATCAACAAATTTTGCATTCTTCAGGTGTTCAAACTCTCTTTGTAAGTTTTCATAGGGTGGATTGTCCACTGTGAGTAGCTCTTCTTTCTCCATCTTGATTAACTTCACCTTCATTGAATAATCACTGTCTATTGCTTCAACTTCCCCTTCATAGATTTCCAGTCTTGTTGTTTTTGATGTTAAAAGCATGTGAATTTTAGTAGTTTGTGTCTCAATTGGTTTCATCCTCAGCATAGATGCAAGTCTACCAGATATGTATGACCTTCCAGCCCCTGAGTCGATCAATGCACGACATGTAATTCCATTTATATTGACAACAAGAACTGGGAAAATTCCTTCACCAGTAGATCCATCTGTAGTCAACACAGTCTGACCTGTTTTTAGTGGTTCTTCTTGATTGGTGACATCACATATGCTCGTATGGTGTCGTTTGAGGCAATTTTCGCATGATGACTTGCTGGGGCAAGCGTTAGCATGATGCTGTCCTGCTGTACAGTTGAAACAAAGTTTCTTCTTGACTAAAATTGCTCTTCTCTCCTTGACAGTACTGATACTTTACATTCCCCCGACTTATGATTTCCCTCACAGTAGACGCACACTCCCTTTTCTTTGGTATGAAAGACTTTCTAGATTTCCATCCAGGTGTGTCTGACTCTTTCTCACAGACTGGATTTCGCCTGGTCCACTGTCTGACTGCTTCAGTAAGCTTGGAAAAGTCCCAACTTTCCCATTCTGCATCATATCTAACAAGGTGGGGACCTTACGGCTGGGAGTTTTTCTAGAGTCATGGAAACATTTCCTTGGACATCTTTCAGTTTACCCAGCGTTTCCAAAGCTGGACACTGTGATTTAACTTCTCACTAAATTCGGCAATCTTTCTCGGCTTTGCTCCGGAGATATGAGGAAAGCCCATGATCTCTTTTATAATATATTAATTCTAACACGGTTTTAATATGCACATGAAAAACATGTGACTTTGACGAGA